GAGAAGAAAACATATTTTTAATTAGAGCTAAAAGAAAGAGCTAGATAGATGTGCACACAGGTATATATGCATATATATTTACAGTTGCATATGTGATAGCGGGCCTTGCAATTAACTTTGACAGTGGGCGACTGGAGTGGGAATATCTTGAAGGGGCAGCAATCGCTTTCACTTGGCGAAAGATCAAAGGGATGCGAGCATATGCGAACAATGCCAGCTTTATAGAGAGCTCGAAACTGCTGCAGCTGGAAGCTACTCCAGGTGCGGCATCAAAACGAGCGCTTAAAATGCAACTGCAACTGCAACAACAACAACAATAACAAATGGCAAGCATAAAGCGAAAGAGAGAAGAGAGGGCGGCAGGATATATGGGAATAAGTGAATGAAAATTTTTTTTTTCTGCTGAATGAAATGTAACTAGCGCTGGCTTTGCCATTGCTCTTTGCCAGATAAAAGCCACCGTGGAAACCCATAAATACAGGTAGACGCATTTTGAATGGCTGGGTAAACGATGCCAAGCTGTCAGGTGAGCCCAGCTGTGGGGGGCGGGGTGCGGGGTGCGGGCGCTGCCTAAGTGAATTGCCGCTTGCCACAGGAGCACAGACAACCGCATGACAATGCCAAACAGAGCTCGACTCGACTCAACTCGACTCGACGCGACTCGACTTCTAGTGGAGCCTGATTCCAGGAGCTCTATTGCATTGTTTCTAGTTGCAAGTCCCGGGCAGAAAGCCTTTGATTTATGGCATGTGCGTTTTAATTTTGATTGTATTTCCAAACGAGCCAACTCTTTGAGAGTGTGTGTGTGTGTGTGTGTGTGGAGCAGAATGAGAGAATGAGAGAGAGAGAGAGGGAGGGAGTGCGGTATAGGTACAGTTGCGGTCTTAATTGGCCGGCAAGAAAAATGTGAAAAAAAATAGTTGCCTACTTTTGAGCTGAAAATGCTTTGCAAGAAAGGCAGAGAAACTAATAGGAGTGGGAATGAGAGAGTGAGAGAGTAAGAATTGAAAATAAGAGGCAGAGAGGGTTTTTGCCTTGTGATAAAGAGAATAAGAATGAGAGAGAGAGCGTGACAGTTAATTTAAAAAGCATGCGAGTTGGATCTATTTAACAGACATTGAGAAAGAATTGAGAAAGAGTGTGAGAGAGAGAGTAGAAAGATAGACAGGGGAGGTGTTGAATTACACTGAGAGCGCTAGACTATGGGAGAGATGGAAAGAATGTATTTGAGTAAGTGAGAGAGGGAGACAGAGAGTGTGTCTGATCGCGAAGAAGAGAAAGAAAATGATCGCTAGGCAGAGCGACTGAGAGAGATAGCGAGAGAGAGAGAGAGAGAGAAAAAGAGAGAGATAGAGAGAGAGAGTGAGTGCGGTATTGGTACAGTTGCGGTCTTAATTGGCCGGCAAGAAAAATGTGAAAAAAATAGTTGCCTACTTTTGAGCTGAAAATGTTTTGCAAGAAAGACAGAGAAACTAATAGGAGTGGGAATGAGAGAGTGAAAGAGTAAGAATTGAAAATAAGAGGCAGAGAGGGTTTTTGCCTTGTGATAAAGAGAATAAGAATGAGAGAGAGAGCGTGACAGTTAATTTAAAAAGCATGCGAGTTGGATCTATTTAACAGACATTGAGAAAGAATTGAGAAAGAGTGTGAGAGAGAGAGTAGAAAGATAGACAGGGGAGGTGTTGAATTACACTGAGAGCGCTAGACTATGGGAGAGATGGAAAGAATGTATTTGAGTAAGTGAGAGAGGGAGACAGAGAGTGTGTCTGATCGCGAAGAAGAGAAAGAAAATGATCGCTAGGCAGAGCGACTGAGAGAGATAGCGAGAGAGAGAGAGAGAGAGAAAAAGAGAGAGATAGAAAGTGAGAGTGCACACGAATAGAGGTAAAGAGAATTTATAGTGAGTGGGAGTGACGACAGGCATTTCAATGGAGGTCTTCCGAGTCACATAGACTGATCTACGTAAGCAATTAAAATCCTGCTCTAATCATTATACTCTGGACATACTTAGCCTCAAGCACTCTTCAGTCAAACTGATCTTATAGACTCTACTTTATATACTAGCCCTATACTCTTCCTATGGCATCAACTCTCTAACGCAAAGATTTGCCTTCTGCACTCTGGCCGAGCAGTGTGTACAAAGGCGAGAAGTCGCAACGGTAAACAACATTTTTCACAAATCTCATGTTAATTTTTGTGAAAAAATGCAGCACAAGAGCCGCTGCACCTGCAACTGCAGCGATGGCCGGAGGGGTCAGGCCTGGCAAGCTTGCATAGATGTGCACGCGAGGCTATCAACTAAGGGCATACAACCCGACACACACACACACACACACATGGCCGCTGCACACCCACACACTGAAGCGCCACAAATTGCGGCAAAATGCATTTTTCACAAGACAAAACGAGAGCTGCGAGCCGAGGCAAAAGCAACGAGAGATGCAATCTCAAGTGGTTATCTCTACTGCATGTGGAAGAGAGTAAGAGAAAGTGAGTGGAGGGGGGGGGGAGGTGTAAGAGAGTTGGGGGTAGCCGTAGTCCTCAGAGTCCTGGCAAAGTCAACATCAAAGTTCACGCCGACAAAGCGTTGAGAGTAAATGTTTAATGAGCGAAGTGGTTGGGTGATGCAGGGGGGGGAAGCGCACATGTAGTTGCAGTTGAAGCGGGAGAGGGAGCTGGAGCAGGAGCAGCAGCTGAATCAGAGGGAACGACTCCTTCAAGCTGGTTCGCATGCCAATTAAAACAAAAGCCAAAAAACAAATGCACTTGAAGTGCCAGCTGGACGGAGCACTAGAGCAGCACGTTTCGCACAGTGTCAAAGGCGAGAGCCTACCGGCGTGGAGCGTCCGGGACCGGCCTACCACTACGTGAAGTGTTTGGACTCGAGGGAGGGCTGACAACGCAAGCACTCCAAGCAACAGTTCTGCCTTTGAAGTCAAAAGGATTTCGAATGCCG